CATCTAGCGTGGAATGGCGGAATTACAATACAGTTTATTTTCTGTGGATACATAATATTATACTCAACAAGCTCCCTTTCTGGTCAATCGATGCTCGATCGATGCATTTATGTTGCATCCTTGATACAACTATAATGTGGGGCTACCACGATAAAAACTCTATGCTCCAGAAGCAATCGGTTTGAAAACATAATTTCAAATTATTTTATGAATTAGATTTTCAGATTCAATTAAGCAGATATGATTTCTTTTGTACTCTTTTTGTTTTACCCTTATTTAATATAACTACACTATGTTCTTTAGACAAAAATTATACAGAAATAAAATTAAAACCGTCAAAAAACGAAATTATAGATAAACTAGACGTGTGACGATAAAATCGCGGCACATGGGAAAAAAGAAAACATTGGACGTCAAAGGTGATGTAATTTTTTTTAATAGTATAATTTTAATTTCCATATAGAAGAGCGGGATTGTCAACTGAACGTCAATAACGGTTTTACGCGTTTTTGGTGTCATTTTAATTATTTTAAGTTTTCTTGTAATATTCTGATTACATTCCTTATATAATTTAGAATATATTAATAATATTTATCTGCATTTTCATATTGTATCTAGCGACAATTTCATACTATCACAAAACAGTTTAACGTAGCCTTAGTCTCTCGGTCGCCATGTCTAATCCAATTCCGCCTAAGCCACCGGATCCGAATTATTCTGACCCTAACATTATTTCCTCACCAGCTGCTTATGTTGAAATTTAAAATGATTTAGAAGGTTCATTAAAAAACCACGGCAGTCATTATCGCAAGAAATTTTTGATGACAACTTCAAAATTATTTCAAACAAAAAGAAAAAAAAACATAAAACGAAGGAAAGGAAGAAAGAAGAGTATGCTAATTGGGTTAACATAAATAGACGAATTGCAGCTTTTTCCACCAATTCCTCATTCTCAGAATCTGACTGCGATACTGGTAATACTTCATCATCTAAAATTAAAATTGTAGGCTCTAACTCTATCAAAAACAATATGTCAGGACAACGTGCTTATGAATCTCCCATGTCTTTATCATCCAATATTGCTTGTACACAATCACCTGAAATCCCTCTTTCACAATCATCTGGCATTCCTCTATCACAAACATTAAATTCTGCCAATAGTTATATCTCTTCTAAATCTCTTAACACGCGTATTGATGGCCATAATAAAAAAAATAGAGTCACGAAGATTTCAATCTCTTCGTTCTTATAATTCTACAGATTCAGGTCCTTTTATCGTTCATGTTCAAGTAAAAGAAGATTCTCCTGATTCTGGTAAAACTTTAAATGCCATTTCATTTGGTCACTTTTTGAAAAAATTTAATGTACAAAATATAGTTAATGGAGGCCTAAAACGTATTGGGAGAAATAGAATAACGGTTGAATTCTCTAAATTTATTGATGCAAATTTATTTTTAGAAAATCCATCCGTAAATGATAAATATAAAACCTTTATTCCATCCTTTCACGTATCTCGTATGGGAGTTATAAAAGGTGTACCAAAAGATTGGACACCAGAAGAGATTATTTCCGAATTATCTACGTATCCAAACACCATTCCTGTGTTAAAAGTAAGAAGATTAAATTACCGAGTTCGTAACGAGGACAAAGTCAGATATAAAAGCTCTGAAAGTGTCGTAATCACATTTGACGGTCAAATTCTTCCCTCGAGGGTTTATTTATGCTATTCTTCCATTCCTGTTGAAATTTATAAGCTTCCAACGATCCAATGCTTTCAGTGCTGCAGATTTGGACATACTAAAGATTTATGTCGTTCCAAGCCAAGATGCTCAAAATGTGGAGGTGATCACTCCTCTTCTTCTTGCGACAAATATAATGGATCTTTTCGTTGCTTATTTTGCTCAGGTAACCACAAAGCCACAGATTCTAGATGTCCTGAACACACAAGACAAAATAATATTAAAATTGAAATGGCACAAAATTCTATCTCATACCTAGAAGCATCTCAAAAATATCCTCAAGTTTCTTCAAAATCATATGCTGATGTTTTGATTTCTAAAATCCCTGAAAATTCTTCGCTTTCTACTAATTCTACAATGGATAATTTTCCTTCCAACCCCGCTACATCTAATAAAACTTCTTATAAGAAATCATTACATATTCCTAAACCATTACGTAATTATTGAAGATTTTTCAATTCCGCAACCTGAGGATGGTTGTGCTCTTCGGGTTTCACCAGTTACTTCACAGGGTAATTTTGATTCTGTAGAAAGCATTATAAGTTTCCTTATTAACATAATCATATCTTCGTATTCGTCGAAGCTACCGTCCCACGTTGCTCGCTTACTAAATTCTATACCTAAAATTCTCCAAGACATTCACTCTCACAAAGATCCTTCAATGGAATTGTAGAAGCATTTTAGATAAACGTACTGAAATAATCTATTTATTAAAAAAAATACAATGTGTGTATCGCTGCTATTTCAGAGACATGGCTAAAACCGGATTCGAACATCAGAGTACCTGGTTTTTGTCTTGTTCGAAATGAAAGATCTGATGGTTATGCCGGATGTGCTTTGCTTATAAAAAATAATATAACTTATTCCATTATAGATGCTTATGATGAAATATTTGACTTTAATATTGTAGCAGTAAGAATTCAAAATATTACTTTCTTTCTAACAATCTTGTGCTAATGCAATAGAACAAGATCTCCTCTCTATGGCCTCTTGGTTAGATGATCATGGACTAGAACTTTCCCCAAATAAAAGTAATACAGTAATTTTTTCGCGCAAAAGAGTTTTACCTGAAATCCAAGTTCGCCTTTTTGATTATCTGCTCGTAAGTATCCAACAAGTTAAATTCCTTGGTGTAATTCTTGATAATAAATTATCCGGCATGCCTCATATCATTTATACCCAAAAAAAAATGCGAAAAAAATATAAACATTCTTAGAGCTTTGTGCGGGGTATGGTGGAGCGCTCATCCATATTCTTCAAAATTAATTTATAATGCAATTATAAGAAGCCGATTAGATTATGCCCCATTTTTTCTTGAACCAGCTAGTAAAAAAGGATTAAAATATTAGATATCATTCAACACATGTCTTTAAGATTAATTATAGGCGCTATGAATTCGTCGTCTATCAATGCCTTGAAGATTGAATGCGGTGATCCTCCACTTTTATTAGACGACAATATTTATCGGATTCCTTTTTTTATCTGGTTCTTCAATTTTCAAACCATCTATTACTCCCTAAAATTCATTTGCTTTCTCAGTACATTTCAATTAATTCAGGAAAATACTGGCGTAATAAAGAAACTCCTAGCCTAGTTAAAAGCTATGGTCATTATAATTCCTTACTAGATCCTATTTATAGGTCGGCGACTCTGCCTCTTTTCTCCAATTCCTTTGAAGTTGCACTTTTCAAACCCAATGTTATATTAGATATAGGATTAAATAAATTTTCTATTGAATCAAATAAAAAAATTGTATTTACGTTGGACAAGAATTTCCCAGATTGTCATTATATTTTTACAGATGCTTCTAAGATTAACTCAAAAGGTTGTACTGGATATGCAATATATTGTTACGCGCTCAAGTCGACGGCACTAGCGCCATCTAGTCTCGAACCGAAGAACTAAACTTCTTGATTTGAAACACGAACTCTCGGTACCTTACGCGTGTTTACTTGAATATTCTGGATATTTCGCTGCTAATTTATATAAATAGACGCTGCAAGATGCGATCGCGGCAGTATTGGATTTGGCGAGACAAGCGAAGCTTCGGAGCGGAATAAAGTGAATTAGTGTGTTTAATTATTAGTGTTTTTAACTTTAATTTGTGTAAAGTAAATTAAAGTGTTAATTTAGGTAATTTTATCGGCAATTTTTATTGTCACGAACCTCAAGCTCGTAACAATATCATCAATCAATAAAATATTGCTATCTTTTTAAATTGAAATCAAGCGTGATATTTTCAAATTCTCTTAGTTCTTTACAAGCATTGTTATGAAATCCTTTCTATGACATTTCCCGCAATCCTTTGATATTTGAAATTAAGAAACTTCTATTCTTATACCAATCCCAAAACATCAACATTTCTCTCGTTTGGATTCCGAGTTATATTGGTATATCTGGTAATGAATATGCTGACAAACTTGCTAAACAAGCTATAGTCTGTGGGGATACTTTCTTATTTAAAAATTATTGCTGTGACCTTATAAGAACTAAGAAATTAGTATATAGAGATAGATGGTCAAAATATTGGAACAAAACCAAAACGACAAAAGGCTGTCACTATGCCAAAATTCAACCCATCATTCCTTCTAAGCCTTGGTTTTATAAATTATCCATAAATAAGAAACATACATCAATGTTATGTAGAATGCGCTTGGGTCACTGCTGTAATTCGGTTCACCTTGCTAGGCTTCATATTAAAAATTCTTCAATATGTGAATGTGGTTTGGATATTGGTGACCTCAACCATATTTTCTTCTCGTGTCCTTTATATGATCATACTTCATTATTTAACACTTTGGTAAATCTTAAAATTCCTCTTCCTACAGAAATTTGTTCTCTTTTAATTTTTTCTAAAAAAAAGTAAAAATGTTTTCAATTGTCTTATGGAATTTTTAGATTTAAATAATATTAGGTTATAAAATTTTATTAATTATTTAGCAATCAATCGTCTTTATTTAGTAATACTTATTATTTTTAATGTGATATTGAGTTTAGTATTATTTTAATTCAACCTAACATCCATCATTTATTTAATATACTTCAGTACAAGTCATTTCATAATTCATTATTATAGTATTCTAAGGTTCTTAACATTATGATTTCGGTTTTTAATCAGAATCGTAGTTTCTTTTTAGATTGTCGGTCGTTTCCGTAGACAGTAGCATTCTCTGTCTACGCAGTAATCTATGAGTTCCACACAGAGTACCTTTGTATAAACACTGAAAGTGTTCCATGTTCAGTGATTTTGTTTTTGTTACAATGTTGTTTCATAAGTTTAAGTTCCTGTCTTACATTTTTATATTACTGTTGTTAAATATTAACTACGCTCTTTCTGAACTGATTACTGCAACTATTATCAGTAGTGCAGTAATAGCAGGCAGTTGGTTCGGTTGGGATACGTTAAAAACTAATACTGTCTGCCGTTACATAGAATGTTGTAATCCAATATATGTACCATATGATTTAAACAGTGAGTATTTATTATCTTTAATATAATATTTTAACGGTTTATATTTTTACCTGTGCCAATTATTGTAATTGATAATCAATGATATAATTTTCAGAATTAAAAGTTAACCTTTCACAAAAGATGTTTGGTCAACCATTAGTAAATGAGTTAGTTAATATATTAGTAGCACATAAAGAAACTATACATGATAAAAGTCGGAAAAGCAAAAAAGCACTTGTTATTAGCTTACATGGATGGTCTGGTGTTGGTAAAAATTATGCAGCATCTATGATAGCAGAAGCGATGTATGCTAAAGGTATGCAAAGCCAGTTCGTAAAGGTATTTATGGGAAAAAAAGACTTTGATTGTAGTGACATGGAAAAAGCCAAAGTAAGTAATAACTAAACATAAATACTACCTATATTGTACTAAGTGTTTTACCTCAAAACTTGAATACAAAATTATACAACCAGTCGCCTAGCGCTTATGCTCAAGGTTTCTGTGTGATAAAGTCAGAAATTGTATAAATGGCATTGGGCCGGCTTTTTAGCTTGAAGAACCAACAACCGATGAGGAGAAAAGATTCTCAATTCTCAACTAGATGGAGTGACAACCTGGTAAGACATGCAGGAAGTCAATGGATGCAGGTGGCTCAGCACCGTGCTTTGTGGCATTCCTTGGGGGAGGCCTATGTTCAGCAGTGGACTTGTGAAGGGCTGTAATAATGATGATGATGATGAAGTCTTTGATACTTTCACATATTGCTTAAGGGTAAGGTTTGGAAGTAAGTCGCCTGAATTGGGGGTGGTGGGGAGGAGGAGGGGGAGTTGTAGAGTCACCACCCACTTCCCCCCCCCTGCCATCATGCTTAGTTTTTTTAAATTTAAAAATATCATTTTGAGATTATGTTTTCGTAATGTTTTTGACAACATAACCTGGAATGGGGGGAGAGAGTTAGGGGAGGGAAGCCCCGAAGCCACTCAATGTGGTGCAGTGGGAAGCCCGTTTGATGGAGCTGGCTCCTACTTCTGAGTGGTTTATAAAAAAATAACCACAAAGGGATGGCATGGCAGGATCGAATGAGAAAGTGAAGCGAGTAAGTAGATCAAGATCAGAATCTATTTCTAACCCAACCTGTCAGAGTTTGGGTGCCCTAAATCCTGAGGTTGGTTCGCTCGCTCTTACACTCATTAAAACTCCAAAATATAAACTTTTATAATTACCTTAATTATAGATACCACCATTTATAAAAAAGGATCCAGAGGGGTAGCGAAGTCGTCGAAAAACAGCTGGAAGCAAATAATAATGTTAGGGAGCACATTTACGTAAACACGGAAGCAACAGAATGACTTAAAGTATATCTGTCACTGTCAACAAAATGGCCAGCCTAGTGAAATTTAAAAATAATTGATAAACATCAATTGTTTACCATGACATGATAAATTTAAATGAATTATCTGTATTTTTCCCGATTTCTACAGATTTTTCTCATTTTTTTGGAGATAGTGGACATAGACCTGGCCCATTTTGAAACATCTGCTTTTGTGATTTTCTTTTATTGCACTAAACCAACATAATTACAATCTGAATATCAGTCATCTTGTTCCATAAATAAAGAATATTTATATAACTATTATATATATCTTTATATATATAACTTTACTACAATGCTAGCTATCATATCCTAACATATTTATGAATGACGAAACAAATATACTATGTGAATATGAGCTCAATTAGATATGCTCAAAACATTTTGAACCACATTGTTTTAGGCGGACTAAATGTGTAACATTGCTTAATTTGAGATCCATCCCAAAGCTCTTATGTACATGTAAGTCAAAATTTTATCTGTTAATATTCTTAACACGTTGAACGCCACGCAAAAAATCGAGGCTTTCCGTTCGGGCCATGTGGGTCACCGGTGAGCCTTACCTAGTTGTTCCATTCAGGCCACGGGAGTCACCGGTGAGCCAAGCAAGAGATTCACTGTAAACGGGTCTCACAAGCCACAAATTGCAGTTATTAAACAAAACACATATGGAAGTGGGCCGCATGGCCCCTGGACTGCTCCAGTCGACGTGGTTTTCAAATCCCATAGAAACTTGTAGTTGTATCAAAGGTAAAGTCCTAAATACGATCTTAGTGACGCCTTATTTTTTGTTTGTATAAATAGCGCGAATAAAACAAAAAAAAATTATGTTTATTACATTAAAAATAACTAAAAATAATTAAATCATCAGTTAATCAACATAACATGGTACTTCTTTTACAACAAAATCAACTTAAAATAATTAAATTCTTCATAAACAGAACATAATAATGACGCTTCTGCGATAAAAACAAACTATATAAGTCATCATTAAATCCTATACCTTTAAACGAGCCATTCTTGTATATATATATATAATCGGAATCTCGGAAACGGCTTCAAAGATTTTCATAAAATTTAGTGTCCAGGGGGTTTCAGGGGCAATAAATCGATCTAGCTAGGTTTCATTTTTAGAAAATGTCGCTTTATCCGTGTTTTTAGGCAATGAAAAACTGCTACAATATAAGGAGGTAAATTTTGATAGTGTATTAATGATCGTAATAGCTCATGTGGGTTATCCGGCGGTCGCGAAATCGAGATGCCGTGGTTCGCGTCCCGTCTTCGGTCCAACTTTTCCCTTTTTTTCAAGTTCCCTTCTATTGTGAGAAAATCTATTATTTCGAGCCTTTTTTTTAGTATCTTTTTAAAAACACGAAAATTTAAATTAAACTCACGATTTTTTATTCAAATAACCAGTTCAGTTTTTTTCTGTTATGTCAATAAGATCAAAAAATATTATTCATGTTTCATCAGTATGTAATTTGTATCTAAATATAATTTCCAAAACACACGATTTCCAAAACAAAATACCAAGAAAAGCTCGGTCATCCGGGTACTGTAACTTATAATGACACTTCTTTTTAGAATCAAATTAAAAATCAACTATTATAAAAACAACATTATGAATGGATTCTGTTAAAACAAGGTAAGCAAGGAGAAGGTTAGTCTGGACATTTTTGGCAATATGTTATACCTTTAGTAGTAGTTTTTGATTTAGTTTCTTTGTTACCCATGATTGGTACGTTGTCTGCCTAACCTTAGCAATATGTCCTTCTGACAGTTCTTGCCAAGCCCTCTTACTTTTCCAGAGTATGTTTCTTTCACAATCACCATCACCTTCTTATTTGACCAATTAAATTCCACGCTATTTGCTCCCTATTCAGATCTATATTTCTGGCTATAATCGTTCTTCCTCGGTGTCAACTCCATTTAAAATGTTCACAAAACAAACAAAACTGAGCAAAAATACTTACACGAAACTCGAATGTGGGAAAAAGAAGTCCTTCTCAGGTACTAAAGCTTAGAGGATTAATATAATGAAAAGCAAAACAGCTACATGCCATTATGCAAAAGGGAGGTAAAACAATTAATGCATCAGCAACATTTTGATCGGAGTATATCCGAACGATCACGAACAATAGACTTGTTAGTGTTTTTTATCACACTGCCAACTTATATCAAACTTTCCACCAGATTCCACTAGATATTTTTAGTGCTTAGATATTTAAAAAAAAGTGCTATAGACCCTAGAATTGCATTAGATCTAGCGCCAAATGCACTAAAACGGCAACACTGGTGAAAGATGCGTAGTGAGCCGTCGCGTGACCCCGTGGCCCCCGCGTACCGAAATTCTTAAACCTTCCTAGGAGGCCACGCGGCCCACCGGTGAGCCTCTTGGTATATCTCTTAAACTAGTCCATAGATTTTGCCTATTTTTATTTTCTATGCATATCATTGCATTTACCAAACTTTGGTATAAAAATCTGAAGTTGTGTAAAATTACAGATTACGTGATTTTTACTGGAAAGTCATGATAGGCCCACCGGTGGGCCGCGCGGCGTTCACCGTGTTAAGTAACTATCAAAATCAAGTAAATATCAAAATAATTCAGTGTGAGCAAATTCACAAGATTGTTTTGTTTACATTGTCCTACATATGATTTTGGCCGGAAAAAAATAAATTACGACATGAGTAGGTGAGAATTGGGGCTTCTGCGTCACTTGCTCTCGTATCGCTCGAGCTACCCCAATCCTCTCCAGTAGAGGTACAAATTTTTAGTCTAACCAAATTAGCGTCTATAAACTCACAGTTTTACGTAATTAGAGATGACTTTGATAGATGCTATGTCAAAAACATTAGAGTTTAGTTATATGTATGTTTCATTTCACGTTTAGTTAGTGATTTACCAATATTTTTAAAATATGATTAAAAATGCTTCGACGCTGCTCCAGCAACAACAATCGCATGGGCGTGCTTCAGATAAACCACCTTGACCTCCCCAAAGTGACAATACTCAAATTCAGGAGACTACTTTCAAACCCAACCCTTGCTTAAAAATAAAGACAAAAAATATGTAATTTATTTTACATTATTTTTATCATATTTTATTATTATATAATAGCGCACCACATGGCTTTGCCTGGGTAGAATCTATTAATGTGGCAGTATTAGATTTAAGATTTGTAATAAAAGGCCGATTTAATTTATCATTTTTTTCTCAGAATAAGTTTCATTTCTTTTCAGATAAAATATAGCTCTCTCTGAATAAAAAATAACTCCTTACATTACACTATCAGTTCATCAAGTTTTATTACAATTCAATTTATTACAGTTCAGCCATTCCGAAGATTACACAGACAGACAGACACAAAAGTTTTAAAAATAAATTTTTTATGTGGTAGAGCCATGCTGCAGCTATATTAGTAGTATAGTTATAGCATGAATTGGTCGGCTCGACCGGAAAAGACCATATTCTCACAGAATACCAACATAAAATACCAGCTTAATGCTGCTGTGTTTTGTATGGTGTGTTTAGAGAACCAGAGACTCATTTTGATTTGTAATCGAGGATAGATGTAGATGCATATGGGCTACAGCAACCACTTACCATCAGGTGGACTGTGTGCTTGTTTATCACCCTCATTCTATAAAAAAAAGTCATTCATAAGCAAATAACCCCCCTCAGCTCAATAACAGACAGTTATTTTAATTTAACAAATAGACACTGAAATTTTATTTTTATGTATATAGATATAATTATTTTATATTATTGCTGAATGCCTCGTTGGTTTAGAGATTTTAAAAGGGACTGCTAATTATGTGGTCCTTAGTCCAGGCAAAATCTGTTATTTATATAAAATTAAGTGATATTATTGTTTTTAGAAAGATCTAATTCTGAAAGTGAATGCAATTGTAAGGAAGTGTCCCACATCTTTGATTATATTTGATGAAATACATGATATGTGTCCATCAGTTTTAGATGCCATAAAGCCAATGCTTGATCACCACCATGCAGTTGATGGAATTGATTACAGGTAAATGGCAACTATTTCATTTACCAGGTAGTGTTAGTTTAAGGATATCCATTAATCCATAGCGTTGTAAGAGGTGACAGGACCAGAACATTAGGGGGGCCTCAGCTTCTTACTAATAACATCTAAAATAAAAGACCACAACCACATCTGCCAAGTTTAGCAAATATTGCCAAACATTATGTGCAATGACAATTTCTGGGTACTGTGGCAACCATGGCAACAGCAGAGCAGAAGAAGGTTCAATTGTCACCTTGGATGACTCAAGCTGGCTACTTTTAATTCATGCACCTTGAACAGACGAGAAGATATTCGAGCTGAAAGAAGAGATGGACAAGTTGCATTGGAGTATTATAGGATTATTTGAAGCTTTTAAGAGAGGGAAGGACACAATAATCCTGGAATTCAATGACTTGTTCTATCTCCTGAATGGTGACCATCTATCCCAAGTAGGTGACGGATTTACCGTCCACAAGTCCCTCGTTAACAATGTTGTAAAGATTGGGGGAGTGTGTCAACAAGGATTGCATGTTATAATGTCTGTACATATCTATGAGTGAGTGAAGAGAGTGGGTGAAGATGTAATATGAGGACATTTCTAGAACATTCATGCATAACTCCAATACCCGTTATATTGTGTTGATGGGAGACCTCACAGCAATACAAGGCACAAGAAAAGACAGTTAGAGGTATATAATTTGGAATAGGGCAACAGAACTAGTGAGGTTACCAGCTAGCTGATTTCATAACAAAAGAGAGACTATTATGTACCCATTCTTTCAGAAGTTTTCCCATAGAATGTAGAATTTGCCTAGCCCCGATGGTCCGATGAAAAATGCGATTTAGAATTATCACTATCAAATGACAACTGGTTTGTGACGTTTCAGTGATCACAAGATTAAAAACTGGTAGTGATAACCAAATGGTAAGAGGCATACTGAACCGTAACTTTAATTTGGAGAGGATCACGTCTAATACGTCAGCACTCAATCCCTCTCATGCTCTAAATCTAAGTCCCGAAAACTTTTAGCTAGAACTACATAATAGTTTTCAGTACCTAGAAGATTGTAATACATTGGGTGTTATGAATGGGAAGCTCATGGAAACTGATTGAGAATTGGGAGATTGAGAGATTCTCTGGATTAGTTGTACATTATATTTTCGTTGGAACCATATGCATGTGTATAAGGATCTAAGGGCAAGTCTCATCTGACACTATTCCAATGATATCCGGATGTCAGTCTTTTTCTTAAAGAAAGATAAGTACATTATATTAAATATGTGGCACTACATCCCCTTCAGTGGTGCTGTTGACTGTTAGTATAGCGAAGTCCTGAAGCTTTTGTACACTAGAGCTACAATGGCTTTCAGAGTATAGAATCAGAGAATGAAACCTATACACATGCAAAGAGGTGTGGCGTCATATTTTCGAAACTCTCTTCACCACTGTATCAGAAGATGTTTTCAAGCTACTGGATTGGAAAAGATGCAGTATTAACATCAACAATGAGTACATCGATCACCTTTGTATCGCCAACAATTATTATTGGATATTGTCATATGCCCCAATTGCTGGTTCTGGTATGCCAGCATACCACCAATGTTGCGTGAGTCTTTCCAGGCCCGCTGGACATCAGGGATAAGGATACCACACCTTGGTTCTCTGGTATCTCTGAATATTTTTTGATGACCAGCGAGGTGTTGGATTTAAGTTCGAGGGTGGTGATGATTCCCTTCAACCAATCCAACGATTTCTGATATCTGATCGCCGCACCACAGCTTCGGGACGCCCTCCGTGTATACAGTTTGCCTCTTGAAGACGGGCTGTCGCATCAAGCTCTTGCCTACTCCAAACATCGCTGATCATTACCCTCTGGATACCCACGAGGATGTAGTCAGATACTCCTTAGTGATGTGACCTGTACGAGCACACGTTAAGACCACACACAATCCAGTTTTAACAGCTGAAGCATTTTATTACATTTTTATCATTTAGCGCTTTCCTACGGACATTTTTAATACAGAGATGGTTCTCCTTATCTCTACCCTCCATAGTTTCATGACTTGCCAATATGAGCCTACAATTGGCCCTGGCAAAAGAATGAAAGGAAAAATAATATGTTATGGTGGGATGATGAGATAAGTATGGAAGTTGAAGCAAAGAAGAAAGCATGGCTAGATTTACTAGCAACAAAGGCTGCTAATTCTAGTGGTACGAATGGTGATATTGAAAGAAAAAAGGCAGCCTTTAGACATCTTAATAAGAGAGTAAAAGAAGTAGTTGAAAGAAAAAAGCAAGAAAGAATGGATAAGAATGATAGAAGAATATCGGATAACTTCCAGGCAAATATTAAAATGTTCTGGAAACTTGTAAGAACTGCCAGGGGACATTCAAAACAGCCTATGACGAATGCTATAAAAGACGAGAATGGCTATATTCTGAATGATGAAGTTTTGAGTTTAAAGAGATGGAAGGAATATTTTGAAAGCGTGTTTATGAGTGAGGAGACAACGTGTGTACTAAGTGAAGTAGAAACACCGAAAGAAGAGGAAAGAAGTAGCGAGAAGTATAGATGAAATAATGGAAGCAATGAAAAGCATGAAAGCAGGTAAGGCTGCCGGATATGATAGAGTTTCACTCGAAATGCTAAGGCTGGAGAGGAAGTGGTGGCAGGCCTGCTGCACACCTTGTTTAATTTATGCTGGGAACTGAAGCGGGTACCGGTAGACTGGTGCAAAGCCGTGATAGTCCCAGTATATAAAGGAAGAGGGTCGCAGCAGGACTGTAAAAACTACCGTAGCATCAGCCTTCTTAGCATTGTGGGAAAACTGTATGCTAAGGTACTGATTGAAAGGGTCATGAAAGAAACTGATGGAAAAATTTGGGAAGTGCAAGCGGGATTTAGAAAGGGAATGGGATGTACAGATCAAGTCTTTTCCATGCGCATGATCGCGGAGAAATTTCTGGCCAAAAACCAAAAGGTTTTTTGTGCGTTCATGCACTTGGAAAAGGCCTATGACAGAGTGGATAGGGATTTGCTATGGCAAACACTGAACTCATTTGGGTTGAGCGCTGGCTTGATACAGGCATTGGAGTCTCTTTATAGGGACTCTAGTGCTTGTGTCTACTCAACGGGGTCTACTCGGACTGGTTTGACATCCATAAAGGTGTCAGACAGGGCTGTGTGGCTTCCCCGTGGCTGTTCAACCTATTTATGGACAGTTGTTTGCAAAATTTGAAAGTTGAAGAATGCGGATTAAGAATGGGTGAGTTAACCGTCAAATGCATTTTGTACGCCGATGATCAAGTTATTCTTGCGTCGTCGGCGGCCGAGTTGCAAATGATAGTTACATTAATGAACGGATCATTAAAAGAAAGGGGTATGAAAGTGAATGCAAGTAAGAAGAAGGTTATGGTTTTTGAAAGAGAAGAAAGTAAAACGATTTGTGAAATAAGAATAGAAGGGGAGTTGATCGAGCAAGTAGATGAGTTTGTGTATTTGGGCTGCGTATTTAGCAGGAATGGGAGATATGATAAGGATATATAGAACGACGAGTGAATGCGGGAAATAGAGTAAATGGGGCCTTGCACTCTATTGTGAAGAGTCAAAATGTGTCGAAAACGGCACGTATGGCAATTCACAATGCTGTATAGGTCCCTACTTTAACGTATGGTAGTGAAAGTTGGGTGTGGCAGAAGAAGCACGAGAGTAGAATAAACGCAGTAGAAATGCGGTCGTTAAGGAGTATGTTAGGGCTGAATCTGAATGACAGGGTAAGAAATTGTGTAATAAGAGAAGAGTGTGGTTTGCAAGATGATGTTGTGACCAGGATTAAGAAAGGAATGCTTCGGTGGTTTGGTCATGTGGAAAGAATGAATGAGGAAAGAGTGACAAAGAAAATTTATGGTGCAGAAGTGAATGGCAGAGTCGGAAAGGGACGTCCTAGGCGAAAATTTATCGACCAAATTGGCGATTTATTGAAAACGGGCCAAATTAGGAGTACCCTTAACCGACGAGCATGTATGCATGGGTGTATGGATGTGAAGAAGGCAAGAGAGGTGTGTCAGGATCGTGCCAAATGGAAGTCTGTAGTCTCTGCCTACCCCTCTGGGTGACACTGATGTAATTGGCCCTTTATCGAATTTTCCCAAAATTTTTATTTATAAAGACATTTCATTTTAATTACTATTTACTTTGACATTATTGAAGCTCAATTGTGGCGGCTTAAGATCCTTCGCCCCATTTGTTTCGTGGGTGTTGTATATATCCTGGGAAATGGGATCTTAAAGCTATCTATGAATGACTTATTTCATCTTGGTATACAATCTCGTTTACGCTAGATGTAAAAATGTAAAATACCATACCAGTGACAATGTTGCATCAAAGATGCGAGACTATCTGCGATATTTAAAAGTATTTTACAATCACTAGCGTAAAATATAGTCTTTTTCGCTTGTTTTTTAAACTGCTATATAATAAGCTGTTCCAAGAAAGAAGTCCCGTGAAAATATACTATTTATATATAAATGGAGAAGTATATATTGGATAGCAAATGTCAAATTAAATAAAGACTGGTGCCGCGACATAATAAGTCTTTGTAAACCATAGATAATTAATGAGGTTATAATAACTTTTAATCAGTGTTAAATTAAATAAATTTAAAGGATTCTTATTTTATTGTGGTTCTGATGCAGATATTTAAGATATGATTTGTTTTATACCCAAAGCTTTTACTGATTACAGGGACAGTATTTTCGTATTTATATCAAATATTGGAGGCCCAGAAATAGCGTCAAATCTTTTAGATTTATATAGTCAAGGTGTTAAAAGGGATCAAGTAGAATTTCACCATTTTGAACCAATAATAAGACGCACAGCTTATTATACAGGTAAAATTAAAAATCCATTAATTTTTTTAAGTTTTTTAATAAACAAATCTTTCAATTTGGTCATCGGGAGCTGCCCAACCCACGGATTGAGTCATAGACAAAACTTTCAAGAATTGTGTCAAATAGTGAATTATTTTAGAGGAATGTATCAAACAGTGAATTGATAAGACTGATAAAGGCGAAGAAGAATTAATTTTGTATTTTTTATTATCGTTATGAAGGGGGCTGCCAGAACTTAATTAATTGCTATCGGCAAAAACCGGACAAAAACTTAAACTCGAAATTTTTCCGCAGGCGCTTTTGAAAAAAAATTGTTTTAAAAAATATAATTATTTAATGATATCTTGTATTTACGCGAATACTACACAAATGTAACTAATTTACACATTTTGTCGCGTTTAATTTTAAGTTTTTAATACCAAGCATAGTCACGATGGCAAACTATACGGGTGGCATATATGATATGTACCTACCTTTTTGCCGTTTTATTTAGCAATGTTTGACATAAACCACAGCAAAAACGCCATGAAATACATAATTACAGCTTCTTATTAAGAAATTATACATTTTTTTAGATAATTTTAAACCTAAACAATTAGGATTGCTCATCAAATAGCTACCATGCTGATTGTATTTTAATTCATATAAATAATTGTAAAAAAATTATATACCTAAAAATAATCACGCCGAGTTCCTTGCGTGTTTTTCCCAGGGCAGAGTAATTTCCAAACCAGTGGTAAATAAATAAAAATGTTGATTATCAATGAGTTCACTGATTAAAAAAATCTTTTTATTATCAAATTAAAAAGAAAGAAAGAAACACCATATGGGCACAGTAACACAGACCGTTGACGTAGACTACAATGTACTTATTTATAACAATAATATGAAAGCTTTATAAATTTGGCATTGTACGCAAAGAAGTAAGAACTTTTTTTGTCCTAAAGGACAAAAAAACTTCTTACTTGCGACACCACTACGCCGATTTTCAGTAATGACCAAATTAAACCAAAATGCATATTATATGTCGGCAAAGGCGATTTTCTGGGTCTAATGGGGCCCTATCTTCATCGGAATCCGTCATGGTGGGTAGCCTCGAGCAGAACAATCATAACAATATGCGGCGGCGCATCTGCGTGGTCTCCTCTATGAGAATTGTTGGTAGAGTTCCTTGCGTTTATGTTGCTCTCGTAACTCTGGCTACATGGGGGCCTCTCCCAGAAAGTGGTAGAAAAAGGGATAAATGCGATTCGACGCTCGGCAGGGGCAGTGCCTCCAAGTTTTTATTTTGTTAAATTTTTTTATTGAAAAATTGATAAAATGGTCATTGATGATTATCTTAAAAATAATCGCTTCTCGGCCTTTTGGCTAAGATCAAAGTGTAGCTTTATTACGAATTTATTAATTTACGTTTTAATTGATTTATTCATTGATTGGATAATATAATTAATTTTTTCCCTTCTCTATACTAAGGTCTTCTCTTGATTCCATCAATTAAATTTATTTATTCTTAATTACGGACAAATATGATTATGTGACTAGGAGCTGTTGTTCATTTAAAGTAAACAAAATTCAAATACAATATAAATACGAGCAAACATTGCAGGATTGTGACATCCGCCATTGGTGTGCAGTATTTTCGATAAAAATCTTTTCAGCCTAACATGTGAAAGTTCCCGCATTACGGAACCAGTATATTAAACTGATTTTTGAAACACGTCGGAATGTTCGGGGCTCGCTCCACTCCCGTCACTTATTTAACTCTGGTAGTAATGGGTGACTTCAACTATGGCGGAGTGAAGTGGCCAATAGAAGACAGCTGATATCTTACACCAATAGAAAGTAACTTCATAAATTGTTACAAAAGCTGTAACCCCCAACAGATAGTAGATAGACACTAGGTATCGTCAAATAAATCAAACCACGTATTTGGATCTTGTATTAACAAATGAGCACTCACTTATAGCCAGTATGGACCACCAGGCCCCTATTAGTAAAAGAGATCATACCTGCTTAGTGGCTACTATGAAGTTACTAACGAACAGAATCAACAAACGCAACGTAAAACGAGACCAAAATTTTAACAAAGCTGATTACGACAAAATAAACACAAAATTGTTATAAATGGCAGACAAAAGGTTTGTGAAATCACAATTTGAAATCCTTCATAGAGCACTCATGGAAGCTATCAACTTGTGCGTACCACGGTTGGACATCCGTTTAAATAACAACGAGCCCTGGGTTAGAGACAAAACTAAAAACCTCATGAATAACAAAATGGCCTTGTGGAACAGACATGTGCTGACTCGACTAGAACAACAATTATAGAGCCTACAGAAACATAACCAACTATTTATTAAATCAAAATAGAAAAGCCCGAACAACCTATGAATAAGAAATACTGCAGACAGAACCAATAAAGTTTTACTCCTACATAAGGCAACAAGTAACATCAAAAGTAAGTATTCCTACTATTTTGCTAAACAAGCAAGGACAAGGTGTGACTCAACCTCACGAAATTGCTAGGGTATTAGCGGACAAATTTGCGAGTGTTTTCCAAACAGAACTGCATGATCAACTGCCTACATTAGACCCGACACATCGAGTAGAGGATTCCATTGCAGAAGTTCTGTTCACGCCAGACCAAATCAACCGAGATATTTTAGAAATAAAAACAGATTCATCTCCGTGACCAAACGATATACCAGTAGCTATATTGAAGAAATGAAACCTATCTCACTATTTAACAATAATAATGCAAACATCGCATGAGACAAGCATCTTACCGGACTTATGGAGAACAGTATTTGTGACACCCATATTTAAAAAAGGTAGCAAACTGGAGCAATCCAATTGTTGTGTTGTCTTTTGAAGAAGATTATATTCAAGTATATTAGAAACTTCCTCTCCAACTACATCGTCCAACGATTTCTAATTTTTTATTATGCCTATCATGATGGAACAAACATTTCAATGAGAGAGAGAGAGTCTATTTACTTAATTTATCTCGTTTACGAAAAGGTTTTCGATAAAATCCCTACGAGGAGACTCCTCCAGAAACTGGAATACGTGCAAAGCTAGTGGCTTGGATCGAGTCTTTTTTGCGTGGGAGAACCCTAAAAATAGAATTGGTGAAACGAAGTCTGATCACATAGAAATGCATAGTGGAGTACCACGGGGTTCCATTCTAGGCCCTGTTTTGTACATTATTTGTACTTTTGACTTTCCCTATTGCCTAAATTGTAATGTGAGCACATTTGCAGATGATACTAAAATATTAGCAAATTCACTAATTGACTACGACCACCTTCAGGATGACCTGAATAAAATAGCTAGTTGGTTCAAGGAATAATTCAATGCTTCGAAGTGTACAGTATTACACATAGGAAACCGTAACCCTCGTCTTACCTATAAACTGGGTGGCGCGTCACTTACAGCTTTTAAAGTACAAACAGATTTGGGGGTAAAAATTGTATAACATTGATAAGAAAGCTAAAGAACTAATTTACCTCATGAGAAAAGCTTTCGCTGTCCTAACACCGGAAATGATATTTAAGATCCACGACATATTGATCAGACCAATATTAGAATACGCATTTTAAATTTGGAAATTCCTACTTTATCAAGGACACTGAAGCTTTAGAAAAAGTCTAGCGTAGCTCCACAAAAGTACCACGGCTATTGAAACGGTAGTCTTATGACGAACGTTTGAAAGTTTTAAAACTTACAACAGTAAAAAACCGCAGGGACCAAGGAGATCTAATCGAAACCTTTAAGATCTTAAGTAGACATTACTACGTTGAGGAGTTTGACAAATTGTTTATTCGTAATGAAAACACACAACTCAAGCAGCTTTTCAAACAGCAACCCTCACAAGCACTTAATTTGTAACCGTGTAGTCATAGAGTAGAATATTGTAACCGTGTAGTCATAGAGTAGAATAAGCTGCCAGAGAACATAGTCTCAGCCCACAATGTGAACTAATTCAAAAATAGATTAGATAATCATTTTCTGAACTGCAATAGGAGTAACTACTGGGCATAAACAGGATACAAGCATTATCAGTTGTCTCAACTGCCTGCCTGCTAATATCTTTATATATGTAATATAAGTGTCACGTTGTTTGTCCGCGATGGACTCCTAAACTACTAAACCGATTTTAATCAAATTTGCACACCGTGTGTAGTTTGGTCCAATTTGAGAGATAGAGATAATTTTTTGGTCATGAGTTACCCATTGAAATTTTTTTTGCGGCAATTTAAGGATTTTTAATAGGACATGACAGTAAGGGTCGTCAAAAAGGGCAGAACAACGTCTGCCTGGCAAGCTAGTATAATAATAATAAATCTAAATGACATTAATAGATACAGGCGAAGCTGGGGTACGCGATCAAGGTCCTTTTTACTTTTTTTAAACTAAGTCTTGTTATTTTTCATTCTGTACTCTTTGTGCTTCAATGGATTGATTATTTAATGGATGTGGTCTACCACAGGCACAAAGTGTATTTAGATTTTACGCGGACACATAGTGAAATCCTCCAAATGTGGGGACCCCGGGCGCCCTAAAAACTAGCACCCTATATGACTAAAGAGAGTTTAATCAAATCACACTCATTTCACCACTATTATAGAACTCGGTCGAATCTACCCTTAGTCGACATAAGAGATATGCCAAAAGAATTTTGGCTTCACGCGTGAGGCGGAATACGAGATCTTGAAAATGCATAACTGAATACAGTCTGGTAATAAGGAGCAAAGTTTTCAGGTAAATGGGATGGGAACCTTCTGATGTTATTATCATAAGGTCGCTTGCCAAATGTGATAACTGCAACAAAGAAAAGGGCGCTTCCCACATGAAACTCTATTGGACTGTTCAGTATGATACAATATTAAAAAAAAATCAGTTCTAATATGTAATTACCTGATATTTAATATTTCACGGCAAATTATCAAAGACAATTACAATGATGATATCTAATTTTTTATCATTAAATTACTTCCAGGTGGATTTCAGAAATCATCTACAATTGCGCAGCATTTAATTGATCACTACATACCATTTTTACCTCTGGAACAGCATCATGTTGAGATGTGTGCATTGGCAGAATTTCGTTCGCTTGGTGTTTATCATCCCACCGAAGAGATGATGATGTAAGTAATTTAATTACCATTAACTTTATTTACATATAAAACAGTATTATCTAGGATTTTATATAATTACTAGCGATGTGCCCTGAGTTCACACGGGTGATTTCTGGATCTTGATAACAGTACCACCTACCGGGTCCAAATGTGAATCTAAGCCATCCAGGGACCCATTCAAACACACACACAAACAACCATCAAAATCTGTCGACCCGTTTTTGAGTTTTGCGAGACTAACGGATGGCAATTGATTTTTATATATAGAATATAGATAGACAGAATAATAAAATATTTGTTCCTACCTATAGTTTTCTCTTAGCTTTCTAGTAGGATTTGGTGATGTTATGGGTAGTGTTAAAGAATCCGACGTTACTGAAACCTTTGAAAGTTGACGTGTGGTGCGAGAAATTTAAAAAATATTTCTTTTTTTCTTTATTTAATTTTAAACGCGCATTTAATTTTATAAAACTGAAGTTACAAACGAATTTATTTTCCACCTGATGTTAAGTAAATACTGCAGTCCATGGACATCTGGAGCCAACTTCAAACAAAAAAAAATTTACATTATTCAAAATGCCCTCCCCTATTTTTAATAAATGCCCTTAATCGACGCGGCCAATCATCAATCGCAGCACGCACCACACTCATATCTATTTCTTCCGCTGCTTTAGGCAAAGATGAGTAGAGATGAGTTGTCACCTTTGGGGGCTAAGGTGGAATGCTTCCTAGCACGTTAATATACTGACTCTCTTTTCTTTTTAGACCAGACCACAGCAGCGCAAGTATTGCTGTTTGTTATCGGAAATCGTTAACCTAACCAGACAAAATCCAAGGCAGAAAAGAATTCTTACTTTATGATTTATTATTTAACATTATTAGTAAAGGTATTCAATATGTATATTTTAATGTAGTTTTCACAGTAACTAAATAAAACTCTTCCGTCACTTATATTTTTACCAATTCACAAAAGGTAAACAGTGTTTGCTTATTTATGAAGTTTATATCATATAGTTAAAGGCAAAAATATTATCGTTTTGTAGAAACAAGTAACCATGACACATAAGTCACAAAGAATGTTCAGTTTATTCTTTTTAGTTTTCTAATCTAACAGAGATTCCAGCTTCAACAATCGGTATTAACTGTATAAGTCCCAAAGGTTTTGTACCACATTTTCTGTGGAAGTCCAGGTCTAGCAAGATCAGTATTACTGCTAGCAGTATGATCTATTGTGCTCAATATGCTTCAATGGGGGCTAATAATCTTCTGCTCACTAGGTATGGCTAGGTGGGACAGAGGTGAAGATTTTTGTTATACAGTGCCATTTAATTGAGAAGTAAGTTTTAAATAAAAGTTCATCAATTTCTAGAGTATTATATTAATATACAAAACAGTGCATCAGGGGTTTGCTATTTAATTTTTTTCACATTTTTAACTTTTTTTTATTTTTATTTTCCACTTTTATCTGTGGTTTGGTTTATTTATTTTAAATCTAATTAATATAAAATATAACTAATAGTACATAAAGAAACGTAGTTCGTAGTTTTACGTGACAGAGCCATGCTGCAGCTATATTATGGTTGTAGCACGAATGGGTCTGCTCGACCAGGGAAGAACCACGTTCTCACAGAACACCAGCGTAAAATAGCAGCTTCACGCTGCTGTGTTTCGTATGGTGAGTGTAGAGAATCGAAGACCCGTTTTACTGGAATTAAGGCATTCCATCTTAGTCCTCAGGGGTGACAAATGCATTTTGATTCTTAATCAAGGTTAAATGTAGATGTCTATGGCCACAGATTACCATCAGGTGAACTGTGTGCTTGTTTGTCACCCTACCCTATAAAAAAAAGTATTCAGTTGAGAATGATACTTCGTTATATGTGAATCAATTGATAAACCCTTACATTGCAGGGACGCCCTATCAATCATCACATATGGTCCGACTGAAGATCAGCCTATCTTCGCTAACAATGGATGCAAAAGGTTTACCAAACACATTCCTTATGTTATACAAAAACATAAACCTAAAGAAGAATTATAAGAAAACAAAAAGGATAAGAAGTTGTTTCTGTGTGATGTTAAACTATGAGCCTGCAAATATCTTACTCCGACTATTAGTTGTGGGCAAGCTTTTATTTCTGAAAAAGCCATGGAAACGAAAAAGGAATGAAGGATGAAAGACCTGCCGATGTCTTCGAAATATTTGTGATATTGTTTTGTATAAAATAAAAATATAGCTTAAAGCTAATGTACGAAGAGCAGCTACAAGATAACTTTTTTAAAATAATAGGTACCTAATTATAAAAACTGTTAATAATCGTTTTACTTTTAAATTAAATACTGTGATCATGTGGTATTCTTGGGGTAATGTATATAGTTGTAAAGTAAGTTCCGTAATAGTTTTAATCTACATTATCATCATCATTACAGCCTATTAAAGTCCACTGCTGGACATAGGCCTCTTAAAGATTGCCACATAAGGGGAATATTTACCATAGTAGCCACGCTTGGCGGTTGGGTTGGCAACCGCAGTTTTTTTTTTTTCTAGTTTTTATTGGAAAGACGCTGCTACCCATGCTCTGGTTTGTTTCCCTCTGTCGCCTCTTATGACACCATCGGGATAATATACACACTACGGTTCTGGGACAGTGGCGAAGCCTCCATAGAAGCCCAGAAGCCGGGCTTGCTCTATCAATTAATAATATCAACTAATAAAATAACTCGTAAACTGTTACAAACTTTTTCAAATTTCCTGCGCGCTCCTCTTTTCTAGGCAGGGCATGACCTCGTAGCATATAATATGTAACGTCAACACTTGGCAGTTTGCTTTCAATTCGAAATACACTGTACTGTCAAAATTAATGAAGGCAATGAGTTGATTTTGTCGTCTCTCGCACGCGATAGCTTTTACCGGGCTTTCGAGAAGACGATCGCTCCCTTTCTAACCTATGGCAAAATGTTCTATAATGAAATATAACTACGAAATGTTTATATAGCAATTACTATGAAACCAAAAGCTGGGCTTTGCCCTGAAGTTGTTTAGAAGTGCGTTAGCGAATGGAGTTTGCGGGCGATAGGTTTGCAAGTTCACTTCACATTTCATTGTTTATGTTTGTTTTTGTTGTCTGTTTAAAATTTATGCTTTTTCAAAGATTTTTATTGGAAATGGGAGGATTATAGTGTTCCTTGTGATGAATCTAAGTGTGTTAAAGTGCTAATCGGCGAGGAAAAGGTAAAATCTTCAAAAATGAAATTTTAATTCAATAAACATTTCTTCATAATTTAATAGGTACAGGACTCTTTAGTATTAAAGTTTAATTACTCTAGGCGTATTTAAAGGTTTAATAACTCAATACCTATATTACCATATGAGTTAAAAATATCATTTTGAACTGCAGCATAAAATATGAGATACCTAGGTAGAAGTTTAATTTTATAGCAAATAATTGTTACAATCTTTTTTTTAATGTGAAGCCCAGTTTTTAATGTAATAAATTAAATGAATACATGTATTGAGGTTTTAAAGAATATTTCCTTTAGTCTTTCAGTTTATAAAATTTTAATAGCGCCATCTACTTAATTCTATAGGTGAAGTCATTTTATCTAACGAAAATTGATTCTCACGGTGGTATGTAAAGATTACGCTAGATAGCACAAATACACTATCGGCTAATTTAATAGTTTAATATTTATATTACCTTAAGAGTTAAAAATATCATTTTGTACAGTTTATTAAAATTGAAAATGAATAATTATATAATAAATAGTCATTATTTTAAGGTAAAAAAATTTGCAAAGCTTTATCTTCTCATTATACCATATCTAATTCCTGTCGTAATCTGTTCTTCTATGCATATAACTTAAACAAAATAATTTCGATGTTTCACATCTGCCAGGCGTCCCTTTTTTTAATTTTGTACATAGTTTGTACTTTGTTCATGCTTTTCTTTTGTTCATGTATTGAATTGTATGTAAATATCTTTTTCTTTCGCTCAAGCAAACCCAAACGGCTCTTTTCAAAGCCACCGAAGGTATGCAATTGCATATGTCATACAATCTATCTAGCCGTAGTATGCCTTCTGTTCTGTGTGCTTTGTTAAACACGTCCTTGACAGCACTGAACTTGAAACTAAAGAGTGAAGACAGATCAAGATTGGTATATTTTTATAAAACTGCTAAAAACAACAAAACCATATCTTGGGCTTGCCCTAGTTTGGAGCCTAGCCCTAGCTTCGCTACTGTTCTGGGACACAAAACTACGAAAATAAGGAAAGCCGTGAAAAGGAAGAATGAGTGGTTTATACCTTTATTTTACGTTTTATCACTACAAATGTCAATAAAGGCTTATTATCCGTACGTTTAAAGAATGGGATTGAAAATGACGTCGCCTCTATTCACCTCTCACTAGCACACTGTCGCTATCTATACTCACACCCGCCGTAAAGACTGCAAAAAATATGTTGTGATATGCATTTTCCGTACATTCTATACCTTTAGTGCAATTTGTCATTGGAATCAATGATAACAAAATGCCATAAACTCAATGATTATTTTAAGTCTAAATAACGCCACACTAATAGATCCCATCCAGGCGAAGCCAACGCACATCGCTAGTTGTGAATTTTATTTTTAAATTAATGTACCAACTTGCGTATAAAATTCTTTGCAAATATTTAACCATTTACAGAAAATGTCCAATTAACCGAATAATATGATATACCGTTATTAGCGAATTTTCGCTATTGGTACTGTGCATGATGACGATACGGGTTCGATGAATCGCCATTTCTAATCCTATTCTTTATCCGTACGGACATTAAGTACCTTTTGCTGAATATTTCGTAATTGGTGTTGTTTTATTCTAAATATCTTAAAGAGTTAAGGTTCCTAATCAATAATTAATTTCTCACACATCAACTTTTTGTTACTCAATACATTAAATCATTTACATCACAAGAAGTTTTTGAGACATACAGATAGTCTGACATGTATCATGACAATACAATTGAGAGGATGAATGATGTTTCACTATGGAACCCTAAACAATTTAAATTATACACTCGAGTTTAAATATATTTTTGTAAATTATGTATAATGTATTTAATGGTAAGCTAAATACTAGGGTAAATTTAATCAGGCAAACAAAAAACTAACATGATATTTTGTTAAATTACTAAAATAAAATAACATTTGGAAGCATTACTTTTTTACTTTCATGGCGTTTAACATCTAAATAAAAGTATAGATCTTCGTTTTAGGAAATAAGTCTTCACATTACGAGAGCGATAAACTTATTTATGGTCGTTGCAATACGTGTGTTAGAGAGCGGACTTTAAATATTTGTGTTCATATATAACTCATGTATATATATGAACACGAATATTAAAGTCCGCTCTCAGAGACATTTATGCATGTATGAAATCCGATCGTGGAGGCGTGGCAGGACGTCAATAGATATGTGCCACATAATATTTGCGCTTAAGATTGCTTATGGAAATAGTCTGTTTTGTCTTTATCGATTGTAGAATAAATTGAAAATTATGTGTATTATCAAAAAATATCTATATGTTTTTCAATTAAACAATAATATCTTTTGAATAATTGCGATAAAAAGTTTGAATATATAGTAAAAGCATAACTTATTCACTGTATTAAAACGCTATGTTGCATTTACACACCAATGCAAAAAGTAGCAATGCAATTAACCATAAGAAATAAAACCGAATCATAATCGATAATTACGAAAATCGAGTAATTACCTAACCGCTTAATACACGTTTTAGCCTCGTACCGGTGGACGAAGTGTAGGTCGTCTCCCCACTCGATGGAGTGACGAGCTGGTAAGACATGCAGGAAGTCGATGGATGGTGGCTTAGGACCGTGCTTTGTGGCATTTCTTAGGGTAGGCCTATGTTCAGCTGTGGCCTTATGAAGAGCTGTAATGATGATGTGGGTCTTGGTTACCGCGCAAAATTCCCGCTTCTTGTCACCATTTTGTTCCTAAAAGCTATATCTACGCAGCCACTCGTGACTAAGTGGTAGAGCCATGCTGCAGCTATATTAATTGTATAGTTGTAGCACGAATGGGTCGGCTCGACCGGGGAAGGACCACACTCTCACAGAATACCAGCGTGAAATAGTAGCTTAATTCTGCTGTATTTCGTATGGTGAGTGTAGAGAACCGGAGACCCTTTTTCTGGAAACGAGGCATTCCATCTTAGTACTCACGGGTGACAACGCATCTGCATTTGGTTTTGTAATCGAGGATACATGTAGATGTCTATGGGCCGCAGCAACCACTTACCATCAGGTGGACTGTGTGCTCGTTTGTCACCCTATTCTATATAAAAAAATACTTCAGCCCGGCCGAGATAGAACGCGAACGGGCTTTACATGTGTAATGTCTACCATCCACCTATAAAATCCAACGGCCGTATTCGCTTATTTCAAAATTTTCAGATATTTATTTTGTATAGGTACATATTTTTGTGGTCAGTTTGGTGTGAGAAATTTTTCGTATGAAATAATTTTAGTTTCCTTGTAATAACTTAGATAGGGCTGGAAAGCACACACGGCATACTTAAATGGAATGTAATGGTGGTCTAACAATTTATCGAAATCATTTAAATATATATATTATATAATATATATATATATATATATATATATATATATGGACAGGCAGCAGCTTCGTGTAGCGAAGTGTACCCAGATGGAGTGACGATCTAGTAATACATGTAGGAAGTCGATGGATGGAGGTGGCTCAGAACCGTGCTTTGTAGCATTGCTTGTGACGGGTTGTAATGATGATGAATGATGATGGTTAAATAGCTTGGATTTGAAAGCAAATATATAGTAGCGGACAATAAAATTAGGCCACCTACAAAAACGGTTGTCGTCAAATCGCAGCTAGCACGTCTGGTACTGGTACAGTGATCTTACGATGATTGAGCGTCCGCCATTGTTTTGTCAAAATACTTTGGGCAATAGGGCGCATTTTTACCTTAATTATCTCGGTAATTATTAAATATAAAAAAATAT